TTCTAATTTTGCAGTCTGTGTCAACGGCTAATTTCCTTTTCCGTCACATTTATGCATCGTCGCGGAATCTGTGCGCACTTGGGACAGTGCCCGACACGGCGCGGTTCGAAACTGAATTTTTAACTGATTTTTGAAGCCTTAATGGTTCTCCTTTGAGGTCTGAACTGACAAACTCTCTCCGATAGGTACCATCCAAAAGTTTTTCTTTTCAATCTAAAGGCGCTTCACTTTTCGATACTGACTTATTTATTATGTGTATCTTCTACCCATTGAAGTTTTCTATAGAATATTCTCAGAATTGTCCTTTCCCACACTATTGTTAGTGAGAACTCAGCATACTATCTGCTTCGACTAGTTTCTGCACCTAATTTTGAGTCCAACGTGGAGATCATCATAAAAATAGAGTGGGAGTATTTTTTGATTTCGATTCTCGATTGGTTTTCTAAGTCTAAAAGTTGAGATGACCTCTGTCGGCTTCACTGTGAACCTTTTGAGACTTGAAAAAAAAACAGCTAACCTCAACTCTCAGTATCTCAGATTCAATTCTACTGCCGATATAATAAGCTGTGATCAACTATCAGATGTGAAGTATGTTCTTCCGAGTTCTTGATTGATATATTCCTCTTGAAGAAGTCGGCTTCTCGCATCACTTTTATGTCAGTGTCAATCTCCATTATTCAGCGTGCCCATGCTAAAGTGCAGTTTCATGTGGTTTCTTCGGTGCGGCATTTTCTATTTTCGACTGAAGACAAGGTTTTTTCCCATGGGTCAAATATTTCAGCCCAATTAATCTTTTCGTTTCGTTTAAAAACAGTATTTCGTCGGACGTAATCTGAGATATGCTCTGGCAGTTCTTAGTTCAAAGTACGATTTTACGCCCAGCAGAAATTTCGAGTGGAAACACGGCTATGTGCAACCTGCTCCGAGTTGCCTGGCTTAGGCAACATATATTGCGAAAATTCCAAACAATATGCAATAAGTTTTTTTATGACGGTATGCTCAAAATGAAAACTATTCTCAAATCAATATAATTACGAGGTCCTTAGTCAAAAAGCATAATCTCACTCTCAGCTCCATTAACTTCATAACCAAGTGGGAGTTTATACTAATTTCAGAAGTTGCTGTCTCCAAAATGATGCTGTGATGGTGTTTTTGGTTTCTAAAAAAACTACTATGAGTCGAAATTGATTTAACTAGGGTTTTTGGTTGTCTCAAATGTTAACCATCCAAATGTTGCTATTTCAAAGGAAATTCATTGGGCTCGAACAATGATATGCTGAATAGATATCACTCTAATCAACTTTGGCATTATTTCTTTATTGTGAAAAGGTCTTCTCCACAGTCAAATGTCAAATATTTTGGGACTAATAAAGTGAAGGTTTTGAACTCGTCTGAAAATACCTTACCGAGCATATAGATAAACACTTTCTATAATATCACTAGTCAAGTGCGGTCAGCTTTTGGATAGTTTTTGCTTTCTCGTAGGCATACTGTGAGCCTACGCAGCGCGAAGATGTTGCTGCTCAGGCAGCAGGCAGAGTTGTGAAAGCAGTTTCATTGTAGAAAGTGAATCTATTCATCAGCCCAATGCTTATTTACGACCCTTGCGGTTTTTATTTCCTTCAGTATGGACAGTAATTTTTGGGTAGAGTAATTTATTACTAAGCGGGAATTCTGGAGTAATCTTAAGCCAGCAAAAATTCGTCATTTTGCATGACAATGTCCCTCACTTGATCTCGACTCTAGTTTTTCGGCCCTTTCTATGATGTATGAAGCAAGAACTCATTATATGAGCAAGAACTTTTTAGAAATGAGTAATATAGTCTTTCTTGCTACAGATGCTCTATAAACTTACTTTTTCCGCTAAAAACGACATCCCACAAAGTCCTGGGCTTCAAGACGTCAAAAAAGAGGAAGCTGCGCGTTTACATTTTTTTGAATCGGTTCACATAGGTCTAGGAGAAATTCAGTACGTCAACATCACAATTTTGAAAGAAATGGTGGATAATTTGATTCACGAATAATTGTATCTAAAGACGTACTTAACGAAACGTTTTTTGCATGAAAAGGTTGGACCGTATTGCTGGTTCAAGTATTATGATGGTCCGCTTTTGCACCGTTCAAACAATTTTTGTAGAAAAGTTATTCTTTGAAAGACTTCTTAAAAGTACAGTAGAAGATCATGTTCAATGAATTACACGAACTAGGAGTAAATAAACATGAAAACCATTCGTTTCCCATTTTATGATCCGCCACAGTTCTTTGTTAACTGCTCAAAAGTTGCAGGAAAATTCTCTGAACTTGGTTGCTCATCATTTATTTAGAATAGGAAACAACAAAATTCACTACAAAAAGAAGTTATTCAATTTTTAGTCACAAAGCCCTGCTTGCAAGATTTGATAGCAAGGATGAATGTCTTCAAATCGCGAGAGTAGTCTCACGTTTTTTTAACTGAGTGTCGTGAGCTGTGTATCTTACATTCAAAAGGCCATCTTGCAATATTTTTTGAATTTTGGGCAACAGAACAGTGATGGAAAATTCTTCTACCTTCAAAGAATTTGTCGGGCCAAGCTTTTCCAACAACCTACTGAAAAAACACAAAGCTTGAATTTTCAGGATAATACACTATCCTGAAAAAATTTTAGCAATGAGAATACATTGCTTCCTCATTGCCCTGAGTGCCGCTTGCAGAACGTCATCGAAGAAAGAAACGTTCTGTGATCCAACAAAAACTTTTTTTTGACAATAATGCCTCAGTTACTTAGAAATTTTCGCAAAATCTAGGCCCATCGCCAATTCGGCAAAATACGACGACACCAGAAATGTAGATTTGCGCTTACTAACATAATAAAAATTTTTTGGATGGCATTTCAGTATCAATCCATACCTAAGAAGCCTCCCTTAAAGAATATTCCTGAAATGATTTAAGCTTTATTCCCTTTTGGTAACAGCGACATGCAAGTCAAGATATTGTTGGGTAGTTTATAGTTTGAAGACTATCAATCTGTTAGTGAATTTTTTAACATCTTGAACGGGCAGCCAACCATCAAATATAGCAGGTCCAAGGGACAAGAATGTCATGTTTATAGTAAAACTGCGCCGACGTACTTGCGAACGTCTATGAACTTCCTCAACAGCGTAATGAACTTTTATTAGCTTGTATAAATGCTTCCACAAGAGTTCTCCTATTGTTGGGGACAATCATATGCATTAGCTACTCTCGTATGTAGTGGAAGTTTTTCAGTCTTAGCATCGCTCTTACTCTACTCACTCTTCTTCGTGTCAGGAGTTGTCGGCTCGGAGTTCTTCCGTTTGTCAATGTTGTTCTAGCTCATTTGTCATTCATAGTTACATGTCATTCATTTTCACACGTGTTCCGAGCAGGGGAATGACAACTTGACGCCGAGAAACTGACAGAATGACAATGCTTTCATAGTAGATGTAAAAACTTAAAAATACTATGGTATTTAAGGGGCTGATCAGTTTCTTGTTTATTTTCCTTTGTATTTTCGTTTCGCAAGAATGGTGAAAAGAGAGTGGAAATGAAAGTATGATGATTTTGCTAAGGGCAACTTCCTCTCTTCTTATGCTCTTTGGTCACTATCCATTATGCGATCCCCATTTGATGAATTTGAGTTCTTAAAGTTCAAAATGAACCCAGATGGAGGGTTCAAAACCAATCACATAACCTTTAAGTCGTAAAATTGTGATTAATAGCTTACTGACAGTCCAGAATGTTTGTACTTGTGGGTAGGTTAAGGCATCGTTCTCTTTGGATGCTAATGTGTCTTGGTTTCTCATATACAAAGTTGAAATCAAGAATTTGTCAACATTTTTCAAAGAAGATTTTTTTGTAGTTTTGCGATGGCCATGCTGTCAAGGCTTCTACCTAGGAAATTTTTTCAATCTTTTCTCTATCCTTTTGTGACTGAGTTACTAGATCTCAATCTAACAATTTTGAAGAAGTCCTTCAATTTGGAAATTCATAATCTTCAATAGAGCAGAATGTCACGAAACATTATATGCATTGGCCTACTTGTGTTCTTCCCATGAATCACAAACTCAACATAAATCACCCGGACTGCTACCATGCCGTTTAAGTGCCAATTCTGAGAAGAATCTGCAGGTGCCCTCCTCAGTCTATGAACTTCAAGGTCTGATTGTCACTTTCATTTCCACGTGTCACACCCTACGTTTATGTACATATTTGTGTCAAAAAAAATCAATTTTATATATTCGAAAAAGAGAATGTTGTGCGCTTAATATCAGTAATATTAAGTTAGTCCATAAGTGTTGCACCGACAAATTTAGAAATTCGCTCAAATGGGGAGGGGAAGGAACCCCGCCAGTTTGAACCGCCTCCGCGGACTACTGGTCTTGTAAGGACATGCAACAATATAGCAAAAGGACCAGTTGCCAGCGAAAGTGGGCTTGGCGGAGTTCTTTCCCCTACCGCGCTTAGATGTGCAGAAGAAGTTAAGCTATATGATATTGTAACAACAACCAAACCTAAAAAAATAATATTTGACGGTTTCGTTAATCAGCTGTGTCCTCGTAATATGTCCTTACATAGATTGTTGCTCAAAGTAAGAACAAGTTCAGAATATTTGCTTTCTAACTATGTTGAGTCGGGCGAATTCACTGTAGCCGCAAAAATTACGTTTTTCCAAAACTGTGATGCAAGACTTACAGACCAACCTAACCTTCTCTGATCATCAAAAACTCTAAAAAATGGGGTTATTTCCGGATTCATCATATTTGTAAAATTGATTGTTGGCAACAGTCAAGTCGTGTTTTGATCCATAATGATGAATTGAATTCTAATTGTAAGTTTCTAGTCGTTTTTGCTTAACTGCAGCTCCTTTAAGTTTCGTAAAATCGTCAAATCTGTTACTCATCTCGTTTCCAAGTCCCGTCATCTGTCTGACAGATTTTCCGGACATTTTTTTCCTTTCAGATCACGCCATCTGCTATTCGTGCAGCATTACTTTTTGATTCTGATGGCGTTCGGCGGTTTGCTGGAGGGTTTCCTGGCCGAGAAAAACTTCGACGAACCACGTCATCGTCGCCATCTCCGTATGGAGATTGCTACTCGGCGAAGCCTTACGGTCAGTTTTTTGTCTTCGAGGGACTTATTTGGGAGTGAAGACGAGAAGTCGATTACTACATCTTCAAAATAATGTTTGATGGTGAATATTGGATGGAACTTTTAGGAAACCGGAAATGAAAAACTCCTCATGAAAAAGCTGAGCACCGTCAGCGCTCCGATACCAAAGTATTCGTGGACACTCGTTTCTCGAGGTAAGTTACGTTTTCATTAAAACTCACTCCTACAAGTAGGGGAGTCTCATTTTTTGTATTTTGTCTGAATGGAGATCACACAGCTGTGTTCGTAGTTTTTTGGCTCTTATTCGACACTATTATGGGGTTGAGAAAGTTCTGAAACTTTTAGCTAAAGAAGTTTCTAACATAAATGAAAACTGAAGAAGTCCTTCACCTCAGTTATTTACATTCATGCCCAGGCTCCACTAATCCAAAATTATCATGAGTAAAATCCTAAGAAGTCCTTGTAAGTCTCATAGTTTCCTCGTACCGTCCGACCTAGTAAAAGCATTTTTATTGTCATTTTTCCTTCTACAACTTCATTTTTCACTAAAATCTTCCCATCGATAGTACCTGGCCGACAATTTCAGCTCCGAGAAATAACAATTTTCAATGTTATGCTAAATGCCAACTAAGGGGGCGAAACCTTTGATCAATCGAGACTTTGCATATTGAAAGAATAAGTTCTAGAGGGCTTTATGTATAAATTTAAGTCAAGTATGAAATGAAAAAAAGCTGGCTATGGTGCATGAGGCAGAGGAAGGGGAAGAATGGTTGCTATGCGAGTCCTTTCAGATATTTTGGGTACTCATATTCATCTGTTCATTCTAGCTTTTTCTTGCTATCGTTCTTCTTGTGTGTTAGTTATCTTAGGTTGATTTTCGAATTTACTTTCTCAATAAATTCTATTGAGTTGCAGATCAATCAAAGTTAGCACTTGTTGGTTACGAACTTCTCCAAACCGCTGCTGGATCCTTTATTTTTGGTTTGCTTTTGGGCGACCCTATTTTTATCTTTAATAAGCTGTAGAAATTGTTAGGACAGCACTTGTCTTATGTTTCACTTTCACCATAGGTTTTCTATCGAAGAAACTAACACTTTCGGTACCATTCTTTCGCCTCCATTTCTAAGGAGGGGCCATATGATGCTATAAAATTGAGCATATCATGCGTATTAATGCCTTTATTATAAAGCTTAGAGCGTAGGAGTAGCTGAAAATAATATTTTAATGATTTTCCTCTATCATCCTTTGCTGTAGTAAATTTTCCTTGAGTTGGACCAGGGCTCAGCACAGGTGGCTTACCGGGCAAGCTGGATATCGTTTTAGAATAAAAAGCAGGGGGAAATATTGTTTAAGCGCCTTTACCTTCCATTTTCTATAAAGGGACACAAATATTCATTCGTGCTTTACCGACCCATTCCTGCAAAAATCAAAAATTTCCCGTTTGTTCGCCGGCTAAGCGCGCGAATTCAAACCTTCTCAGAAATAAACAAAGTACTTGTTTACGGCGAAGAGAAAATGAAATGACACCAAAATTGGTGTTTAGATGGGCAATAGGAAGTTAGATGTACGAAAAATTATCAAAAACTTTGTGAACTGAAGGTGTGGTAGAGTTTTTTCGGAGTTAGGTGGCTCTCCAGCCGCTTGGGCAGCCGCCTGAGGTGTTTGTGAAAAGAACAGTCATAAATTTTCCTTCCTTCACATAATTTTCTCACTTGTTTAACATAGCTTTGTTTTACATCACAACCCTACAAAATTTGAATATCTCTAAACCATCTCTTCCTTGCCTAGTTACAGCCCTCCAAAAAATTTTATGGCGGCGGCAAGCCTGCTCCAATCGTGCAAGGGTGGGCGCCGGACACAGCATGCCGCCAATCCGGAGATTACGAACATCTTTGATTCTTTCTCGTCTGTTCAATGTTGTTTTTATGTTTTGTTCCATTATCTTTCGCTATTCGCTTTGATCCATTCATGATAGCGTCATAAGTGATGTCGTATTTTGGCGAAGTCTACAGGAACTTCGTTTTTTGTAAAACTGAAAAAGCCACTTGATGCCGAGCACTGAGCTGGACTTTGGATGCTAATGAGCTTATTTCCTCACTCATAGAGAAGAATTTAAGTGTGGGGATTTTTCCATGCTGTGACCTGATGCCGAAATCTTTTTTTGTTTATTTGAAAGCGAGTCATGCTGAGGTAAGCCGCAAAACTTTCCCACCTTGTTGCAGCTTCACTTTTTTCTAATTTGTTAGGATAAGCACTTGCATTTGCAATTCTTTTCATGGGATAAAGTGTAGTTCTTTAGCAACCGTGGGAACTATTCATGAACTTGAGGTGCTTCAGACTCCATCTTCTCCTCCTTTACGTTTCTCCGATGCGTCATGGCTTGCATTTTTCCTTCTTCTATTGACAATCTCTCATTGCTTCATTATTCTTTGTTCATTTTCAAATCCTCTTTTCTCTTTTTATTTTCATATATGCAATTTCTTGATCGTTATCCGCATTTGTATCTTCGACTACAGAACTTCACACGTGCATACCTATTGTTTGAAAAGTTATAGTTCTTCTTATTCTTACTTTTTGGGTAGTTTTCAATGCTTAAATGATACACAACATTCACTTTCTTCTCAGTTTTTCTTGGCGTGACTTTGAATATGTAGAAAACAAGGAAGTGGAAATAAGAACAAAGCTGTTAACAAGTTTTCGCTAACTGTTTATACCACAAATGCCCATATATTTCTTATGAATCAGAGTTATCAAATCTGAAGATTTTATTAGTTAACAATTCATGCTGGCCAGCAAATTTCAGCAAAGAGATGATCATTATTTTTTCACATAGTTCAGATTTTAAACAATTTTCTATGCTTTCAACTTTTGAAATTTTAAAGCACCGCGTGCGAACGCTGTAAGAGTAACCCAATTTTTGAATCCCTATTTTTGATGTCTTCACCTCGTGCATCGAAATCCTGCCAAAGAATTCCTTGGGGATTGGTTGAGATTTGCAGGGAACGAGCCGTGTTGAAAGAATCGCTGCTTTCGCGGATAATTGCCTCTATGATGAATGCGGAATGCTTTCTAGGAGCTGTGCATTGTAGTTCTAGTTAGTGTGAGAGCGCTTTCGCCTTTTCTGCGCCCCATCTGCTTTCAAAATATATAATTTTTTAGACAACTTTTTACGTTTCGCTTTCCTTCCATCAGCTTTATGCTTCGAGGGAGTGTAACGGTAAAATGTTGATTATCATTTCTCTTTTTTCTTTTACCTTCTTTTTTCTTCTTTTCCTAGCAATTTTCTCCTTGAAAAGCCACAACATATTTGTGTAATCATCATTTGCTACTCTGGTGCTCTCCTCCATTCTACCAAGAAACTTTATTAAGAAAAATCGTGGATTTTCCGGTGCTAGTTTCTACAAGTAGTTTTATATATTTGTTATATGAAATCCTTACTTACCCAAGTTTTCAAAAAATCGTTCTTATGAAGAATTTGGGAGGGTCTGGCACCAGATCACCTTCAAGCAGAATTTCAATGCTCAAAGTCTTCTCAGATAAAAAACAGATAGCAATTTTATATATCAAGCCAATATTCCCAAATTTCCGCTTATTTAACTCTATGCCTTGAATGTGAGTTGCCCAATCCCTGAAAGCAATATTTTACTGGCCAGTTTGATGGATTTCGATTCTTTTTCCAGGACAGTAGATCTACCAGTGTTAGGCACGTACGGAAATTGTCTTTCTGGGTACCTCAAGCCAAATCCTATGCTTTTCCGTAATGACGATTGTTAGGCATTACAGGAATTTATGAGAGCTTATGCAGACCATGGGAGGCCAAGCAACCGAAAGAAATTGTCATTATGTCATTGCTCAAGCTCTTTATGGTAGTTTATTACTTTGCTTATGGCCTTTCTGCTTGGGCGGACGGGAAGTTAGCTGCACACTTTAGCGTTGAATATGAATGCATTCTTTTGGGGTAGATTCAAACTCACTTCGTTGGGCCTAATCCTTTGGTGTACATGATGGCCATAATCTGAACAGTTGATTTTCGAATGTTTCTTCTCAAGATCAGCCTCAAAATACTTTTAGGACCAAAATGGCACGCTCTACCCGAAATGTGAACTATCGCACTAATATTGAGGTTTTTTTTGCGTTTTATCTCACATTTGCGATTATCAGGCTATTTGCGTTTTCTCAAAATATCAAGATAGCCGCTTCGTGATTTTCCTTGTTTCTCATTTTTGAGGGGTAAGGCCATAAGAAAAATGTCATTGCTTTTAGTGTCGCATGTTACATCAGACGGCATTCTAGTGTTATTAGAGCTTTGGAATTGATTTTTCTGCCTAGATGTCTCAGTGCGAGCCAAATGAAAAAGTGTAGAAATAGAAAGCCACATCCGTTCCAGGATGCCAATGGCGGCAGCATTCTTCATCTTCTTCGCCATCCTCCATCCTATACATATATTGCTAAGGTCTTTATTATGAGTGAATATCATTCTCTTAAATTTTTTTTTCTTTCTATGGAAGAAAACTTCAGTAGTTTTCATTTTCTGGTACATAATTTCCTGGTAGCATCTTTTAGCAGTTTAGACACGAAAACTACTCTTTTATCTTCCTCTCATTGCTTTTTGAATTCCTCATTCTTTTCTTTTTTTTCTTCCACGCACTGATTGTACAAATTAAGACTATCTCATGTACTCTGCGGCTTTTATTTCCTTTCTCATGGAAGTGCCCTCTCCTTGAAATCCGAGTGACTGCACTTTTTGGTCAACGATGAGACGAGTTAGTTGGCAAACGCACTTTTTTGCCAACTGATGTGACGAACGTGGACGGAAGTTAAATATTTATAAACTTTCGTGTTGCCCTTCAATAAATCATCTCTGCTATTTTTTCCAATTTGTACGAAGATGGAACGACCTAGTGCAATAACGAACGGCATTTTTTAGAGTTGCAAGAGTTTAAAACGTAGAAGAATTATGATTTGCTCTTAAAAAAGTTATTTTGCGCTACAGGAGGTTACAGCATAGTAACTCCCTTTTAGGGGCAAGAAAAATTGCGAGAAAAAAAAGCATACTGCTATAGATGCGCTCCAATGCTAATCTCCCGCCAACCGCCAATCGTGCCGAAACCGCGCGCGACTCCATATCAGCCTTGGAAACTGGGGAAAATGAATCAGTTACTCAATCACTAGGCTTTCGTTTACGCAAATTGAGCAGTTCATTGGAAGGAAAGG